AGCCCGGGTGTGTGTGTGTGGGGGGGGTGAGCTCATCCCGCTCGCACCGCCGCTCGTGTGGTGTCGGCCGTGTGGCGCCGGCAGCAGCCGTGGTGCGGTGGTTCCGAGGTGGAGTGATATTCCCAAGGGTGCTCCAGGCTCAAGGGACTCCTTACCTCGGTATTGGGCCCTGTGGAACCCCTTCTTTAGGGCTGGGGCAAAGCCCCCCTCAGCAGCTGATTTTGCAGTGAAGGCATTAGCTGTACGTGTTGGTTTTGCAGCCAGGTCCAAAGCGAGCTAACAATAAAGCACCACGAGGTTTGTCCAGGTCCCCATGCTGGCTGGGATCTCTGGTTGCTCCTTAAGGAACCAGAGGGCAGTTGGCTGGATCCCTCTCCATCCCTTCCCATCAAAGAGAAGGCCAAGACCTTCCTTAGGCTCTTTTACCATGCATATATTTATAGTTTTTACTGTCCTTAACACCTCTTCTGCCTGTTCTTGCCATGGTATCTGATTGTAATCCTGCACATTTGCGCTGCTCTTTCAGAACTCTGTTAACCTGACCTACCTTCCACTTTCTGCCTGCTTCCTGCTTGTTTCAGGTCAAATAAAGCTTAAACTTTATCCAAATTCATCTCTTGCCATACTTACTTTTCCTTCCTGTACACTGTTAGTTTAGATTTGGTGGTTATTATTCCTTTGAAGAACCCAAGCCTCCTACCTCTTTTCCCTGTCTCCTATGTGATCCAGCACAATTCTACCATTCCCTCATCCTAGCAGTCAGTTGTGTTTGCTATGCTATGTCCTTCCATTTGCATGGATCACCCAATCTAAAGTTACCACCCTTAACCCAAGCTGCCTCCTACTCTCAATGTCACAAGTATTTATGTCTGGCTATTAGAGTCATGTGGGGAAAAGCTCCCATTCCAGTTGGCTTCTCTATTTATCATGTCACAGATGTTTTTGAGATGTCCCTTGTTGAGGTCCTTCCCAAACAACTGCATCTCCCACTGCCACTGGCTTGAGTGATTCCACTGGCTGTTTGCAGAGAGCTTCTCTGTCTGAAGAATAAACCCATAGAATCAGAGACTCAACCAGGTTGGAAAACACCTGTAAGACCATCGAGTGCAACCTTTACCCTATCCCTGTCAAGGCCACCGCTAACCCGTGTCACTGAGGGCCTCATCTGCATGGTTTGTGAGCACTTCCAGAGGTTTTCTAGCAGAACTATACCAGGAGGGTGCCTGGCTTCTTTCCTCTCATCATTCCCAGGGGATTCTGGCAGCACTCTCCCCTAGCACATTTCATTTCAGGTGTATAGAAAAGCAAGGCCATCTCTCTCCCCTTACTGTCCTCCCTGAACAAAGCATTACCTTTATTCCAGTCATGTGGGTTATCCCACTGCACCTCCATTGCCCCAATGAGAACCCTGAATTTTTTACTCTATGTAGCCCATTTTGTTGGTTTTGGAGGGATTTGGGGAGGAGGGGGGAGGGTAGGGTAATGTAATGGGAGTAATTAGTAAGCAAGTTATAACTGGTAGTAAAAGAAGGTAAGGACTAGCACCTGAATCAGCTCAGTGTTGTAGCAAAGCACTTGGATTTTAGGTGCTGGCGTAATCTGACTGCATAGCTGCCTCAGTGTGAGCATATGCTGAGGCTCTCTGCTGAATCAAAGCTTTAATTTTCTTTTCATTTTCTTATGGCCTGTTCTGCATTTTGAAACTGAGAGAGAGTGTGAAGTAAAACACTCAGAAAAATAATTTCTCTAGGGCATATTCTGTTTGATAATGTCATACCTGGAACTTCATCTGGGCTGTCAAAACAATGGCGCATGACAGTAAAACTGAGCACACTTCATATACATAAATCTTTCACAGTCTGTAACTAAGTATTGAGAATGAGTTGAAGGCTCCTCTAGCTGATTTGTTTTACTGAATAAGACATAATGTGACCGTTAGAGAGCAGATACCTCCATGCTACTAACTCTGGCTAGCAACAGGTAAGTAAGTGTGGCAGCGAATACACAGACGTACAATTAAAAGGCATACAGCAGAAGGGCAGGGGATTTTAAAGGGATGCAGAGGAAGAGATTCCTCTCCTTTGTTGTCCACCACACGATGTGAGGCTGCATTGCTGGTGGGAATTGCAGCTGTATCAGGGATGCCTGGCAAGTTACTGGCATCTTGCTGGTGCAGTGGTGAAGAATATTTCCAGTGATGATGTGGGTCTGCTTCTTTTTAATGTCATCATTAGTAACTGTGGGATAGAGAGCATGCTTTTAAAATTTATGGTTACAAGTAATGCTCAAAAACATTGCAAACCTCTCAGAGGATGCGATTATGTTAATTCAAGGAAGTGATCCAGCCAACAACCTGGTATTTAATGGAATTGCTAGGCAAGGTATAGAAGTAGAAATCAACCATAGAAATAGTTAAGGAATTTCCTCCTGAGAGGAAAATAATTAAGGAGGTGTAAAGACTACGGAAGATCTGAGTGGTGGGGCTAGATCATGAGTGAAATACAAATCAAAGGTGAAAGGGGCAAATCTCATTCTGGGGTGTACAAACAGGAGAGTCATACTTCAAGCAAGCCCAGGGAGAAATAGTTCTTCTATACTCAGTGCCAAGGAGGCCTCAGCTGGGATAATGTGTTTGGTTTCAGACACTGCATTTAGAAGAGGTTCTGAAGATCATAGACTAAAAGATTTGTAGTAGCAATGGTAAAAGTCTTGGAAAATGTGGACTATGAAAAAAGGGCAAAGGAACTAGTGTAATCTAAAAAAGGGAAGAAAGAGAGGAACAGTACAAAGTTCTTGTATTCAGTAGAATTACTGCAGAAGAAGATAGATAAGTTGTTCTCCAAATCCATTGGGTCAAGAAAAAGAGATAACAGCTGCATTTTAGTTCAGATATTGGGAAAACCTTTTGTGGGTTCAGCACAGTAACAGAGTCCTTGGAGGCCACAGGACCCCTGAAAATGAGTGTTCTTAAAATTGCAACATACTGGGGCCAACTGCCCTCTGGACAGTTGCCCAAGGCAGCAAAGCAGGAAGATCTTGAGGGGCACACTGCCTACAGGGAGAGAAGAGAAAAGCATCCTTGACAAACAGCCTTAAACTCCCACATCTTTCAGCACCAGCCAGCAGGTCCTGCTTTCCCTGAAGCCACTTGAAGTCACCTCACTGGTAGTGTATCACCTCTCTAAGTAGCAGCAATTTCCACCTTCTGATTAGTTTTCTTGTCAGGCTTAACATCAGATGGGGATTGCAGGCATAGGCAGGACATGAGAAGCTACCAGGCACTGAGTGTCAGACATGACAAGTGGTGTCTACACTTGTCACTGCAGCATCTTTCTGGTCTAGCCTAGCATTATGATGAGCAGGGGGTTGCCTAAGTGCTGTAGTGTTGTGTGGAGCTCCAAAGTGGACTTTTGTTATCTCTGTGCTCCTGGAGCTAAAACCCTGTAGAGCACAGCTCTGCAAGCTAATGCAAGCAAATGCCTCTAATTGTGTAGTCATTTAAAACAGATCTTAAAACCAAGGTGTTTGGTGACACAGTAGAAGAACGGGTAACCTTGTAGTCTTGTCAACAGCAACACTGAAATATGTTGCATTTTAGTAGAAATCTAATGTATGTGAATATCAAATTCCATATTGTTGCTTACTAAATTCCAGTTTTACAGCCTGAATTTCCTACCTTAATTGGCAGGAATGAAAAAGTAATCCCTCATCAGCCAGTGCTCATAACAAAAGCATAAAAATTCTAATTTATTGCATTCTTTCAATATGACTTCATTTTTTAAGCGTTTTGTGACAATCTGACCTAATATTGCACTGATTCAGACAATAGAGCTGTTCTATTGTACTTTAATGACTGGAAATGTAATTTGCTTCCTGTTTAATATTTCAGCCAGCAATAATACCAAAAAGGCTTATTGCTCCTAAGAAAAGATGAAAGGGGCATAACTCTTAAGGTTTTTTTGTGTTCAAAATTTGACCTACTTAAAAATACTAGAAACTCATGGGAATGGTCCTCAGAATTAAAAATACCAATATAAGATTGTTGCCTGGGAATTTTAAGATACATCACTTACAGCTCATTGAAAAGCAGAATTTCCTTCCCAAGGGAAATCCAGATAATTCAAAATTAATTTTTGTCCCAAAATACTGAATTAGCAGAGTTTGGGTTTTCTTTTTTTCTTTTAAAACTTCCCTTTCTGTGAAAAAATATTCTCAACTTCAGAAATATTTAATTTGAGCTTGATGATCATCTTGGAATAATTCAGCCTGGCTCAGTTGAAGATCAGTCTGTGCCTGCCCTTGCTGCCTCTGGTGGCTCTTACATCAATCACCAGTGCTCTGTAGGCTTGCTCCATCGTTCTCCTTAGAGAGACCAGCTCCATGGATAGCCCACATTGTCCATAAAGCTCTTCCATAGTGAGCAAGACAGACAAATTTTGGTGTAATGTGTGGGGAAGACAACTTGCAGAGGCTGATCTGAAGAGGATAATAGGAACATGTGTGACCTGAACTGCTGCAACAGTGAGGTATGTGGTGGCTCAGGTGGGGATGAAGAGCCATAGAAATAAAGCAACTGGAATGGAGAACAATGCGACTAGAACATCTTCACATGAGGTGTGGCTGTGGACCTGCCCTACCACATCCATCATACTTTGCAAAGTACAAGTAGTTAGATGTACACTGTTAAGACACTGACACCCTCCCACTAGATGGTTAATTTGTGTAAAGTTTTAGGGTTTTATTAAACTATCCACTTGGGATGAAAACTGGTAAATACATTTCAAACCCCGAAAATACCTGTATTTTGTCAGGCCCAGCTAAAGCACTGCTACAATTCACTCCTCTAGTAGCACACACAAAAATGCCAGGTACCACTGGAAGGAAGACAGAGGAAACAAATATTTTGGAATGTTTTGTTCCACTTGGTTTTATATATAAGACTGTGGCATCTCTTTTTAAACTGTGACATTTTGACAAACAATGATGCTTTGTGTTACCCTTTAGTGAGAAGAAATGTGAACAGAATAGTTGCAAGCAATCTGAAAAGCAGCTTGGGAAGGAAGGCTGCGGTGTACTATTCCCAGATCAGCCATTACTTGATCCATATATTTGGATAAGATACTTGGTCCTTATCTAGATGCCAAGGTTGTACTGGTTTAACTGTACCAGAGAAATTTGTATAGCTTTACTGAACTAGCATTAACAGAACGATATTGGCATTAACTGCTTTTATCAGAATAATATATTCATGTAGGGCAAATTGTACCACAAATGGTACCTTTGTACCATTACAACTGCTTCACAGTGGGGAGTGTACTGTTACAACAAAAAGATAAAAAGATCTCATCCCTCACCAAAACACTAATACTGAATTGTGTGTAGACCACCTTTTGTGCCTCACTTCCCCCTCCCCCCCATCTATAAAAGCCTTTTAGATCTTACCTTGCAGGGCTGTTGAGCCTTCATTCCTGTCTGCAATAAAGTCTGCATACAAGGTGCCAAGGCTTATTTTTAGCCAGTCACAGAGCTTTTTTGAGTCTCTAAAAAGTGTTTGCAAGAGGCAGCTGTGCCCCAAAACATGCCATAGCGGAGGAGTTCGGCTGGGCTTGCTTCCTTTTTCTGTGAACATTTCACATTTCATTTGACTCAGACTTTTGACAGCTATTTCATGACATGCTGACTGTGAACTCGCTCCTGTTATTTCGTGTATTAATGGGAAATCCACTCCACCATTTCTCTGGCCTTCGGGCACTGGCTTCTTCTCCTTCCTCCCCCTCATCGTTATTCTGACAAGCAAAGGTTAAACCGAGAAGGACAAAAAATCTTTCTTGTTCAAGGCAAAACCACAATAAGGGTGTTTTCCCTGCTGCCTTTCACCTAAAATCCGGGAGGGAAGAAGAGTAGTCAAGAGGCTGCCATCTGTTGGGAGAAACTAGGGAAGACACCAGAGCCTCAAACCCTGGCAGCACCTGACGGCAGTTGAGCAATGTTGGGCTAATTGTTGGTGTAAATGACATCAGCATTTGGCCTACGATCAGTAGCTTCTCCCCGAATAATTTAGTAAGTACAAATATTAAGAATACTTGAAGTTAGGCATTAACCAGATGAAATGTTTAGACAGCAAGAGTAAAATGCATTTGATCAAACTTTTTGGACTGAAACTCAAACAGAGATTTATTTAGTAATAATGATGGGGATGCTGATGCAATTCCTCATTGATCAAAAGGGGAAAATTCAGAAGCAGCAGTCTTTTGAAATTAAAGAAGTATCATTTCAAGGGCAACTTTGAATCTGTTCACAAAAGGATTTCCTAATCCACAAATCCACTGTGATGGCTCTTTTCCCCACAGGCATTCACTGTGAGCGCCAAGGCCACTGATGTTTTCTCCAGGTTCACTGTTCATTTTGAAGCCATGGAGCAGGATACTGCACAGCAGGCTTTGTGCTCTGGTCTTGTGAGCCGCAAAGGGGTTCCAGCTGCTCAGCCCTGCATTAACTTGGTTCTATGCTACACTGGATACGAGACATCCAGACTTTTCCTGCTAATGTTGGATCTACAAAGGCTCCAAAAGATGCCTATGCAGAATAGGATGCAGAAGAATGGGATCCTCGAGATTCTTATACTGTAGAGGTTTACATACCTGTGTTTTCCAAGCACCTAAGTAGAACATGTCCTAACCCACATGATGGACATGAAAGTCCTGTCACCCACTTTCTTCCAAGTACAGTGTTTAAGCAAAGTTCACAGGCATCAGAAGAGCCACTTTCCCTGTTGGATGATAGCCTGGGTCTAGGAAGTCTGTTAAACTGGAGGAAAAGTGAGACCTTGGAGAGGTCCACTAGATTCTAAGTGTTGAAGCCTTCCCATCAGGCCTGCTTTCCAAGTCACCTCCAGCAGCATGGGACTCCAGGCCAAAGCTGCTTGCTGGTGTCTAGGGAGTGGGTCGCATCTGGCTTGAATTTAGCATTTACTATTTCTCAGCACTCTAAAGACTGTTTAATTTATGCACAGCCTGCATGTGTGTACATGTGTGTGTATATGTATTAAGTAAGAGACAGCTGGTCCTATGTAGGCAAGGTTGGCTGTTACCCCTGAGGCAAGAGGCCCATGGAAAACAGCGTGGCCGGTGTTGCATTATTGCCCTTTACTATTCTTTGACCTCCGCTTGATATATTTTTCCATCACCCTAGGCAATGAGCTCTCTGTGGGTGGGAACTATCTGTTTGTTATTGTCTGTTAAATGAGGGCCTCATTGTGGAATACAGCTTCTGAACATCACTTCCAGGCAAATAATACCAACAGGCAAGGTGGCCAGCATCTGTCTCAATAGGCAAGGCGGATGTTGCCTTGGCCAGGGGAAGCCTGCAATGGGAGTAAAAAGTTGTTCCCTTAGAATTGTGCCAACACTAGCAAAACATGAAAGCCACAATTGCTAAAAGCACAAATAATACACACACAACACGAAGCAATAACTAGGATAGCAGCATACGAAGATGACCTGTGAACCTTCTGAGGGCTGTAAGGGAGACAACAGCAAGTATAACCTAAAGAAATAGTGTGAGAAAATGCTGCTTCAAGGCTTAACAGAGGCACATACTAGTCATTGGAGCTGCCCTCTTTTAGTTGTGCTTGTTGCTGAAAACTGAGTGATTCCAGCACATCAAGGGACCAGGAGACTTGTCTCTAAATCTGACCCTCTAATCTTGCAGGGATGGGAACATCTTTTTTTACATGCTGAGAAAGCTTTCCATTGGAATTTACCCTATGGGGCAAGATGTAACCGCAGTGCAAAGGATATTGCCTTGCCCACAGTATCTGGTATGTTACAATGCGCTCAAGATATTTATACCCAGGTACTACTGTTGTTCAAAGGAGCAACAGTTGAAGGGGTTGCAACAGACATGATTAAGGCTGTACCAAAATGAAGCTGAGAGTTCAAAGGAAATATGGCATGAAGGGCCCAGGGTATTCCCTCATTCTCTGGAAATAGCATTCATCTTTTGCCATGAAACTGTGCTTCAGAATGCAAGTCCTTTGGGTTACTAAGGAAGTATTAGCTGAACATACCTGATGCAGTATTGCCTGACTGCTTCTGTGGCCTCTGAGGTTTTAGCTTGGGAGGAATTACAAGCATTCAGTTCCTCTCTAGGGGACATTAACTCTGGAACATAATACTAGGCATTAAATTACAAAGCATATAATCATTTCACTGCTAATCAACTGATGTTCATAGCAGAATCCTTATTCCTCACACCTTCCCAAATCCCACAAACTCCTGTTGCTGTCTACTCAACTGTCCAGTTTGGACTGACAGGACATGAACCCTGCCTGAGTGGTGTCAGGACAAATATGTTTGGCATTCTGAAAACTGAAAGTAAAAAGATTAAACAAACCTGAATATAAAATGTAGCAGATGACCTAATGTCCTCAAGGGTAAAAATGTACCTTTAAGATGAGAGTCAATGTTATCAATGTCTAGTTTGCTGCACTGTCAAGAGAAGAATCCAGCAGGTTTTCTATGGGGACTGTCTGGCTTCCTGTGAAGTTCATGGTGATAAATTGAGTGATTGAACATTATTAAGAGGTTGGGAATCAGGACATGAAGGTACTGGTTGGTTGTGCTATAAACTTGCTGAGAGTTCTTGGGCAACTTAATTATTCTTTGTGTCTCTTTTTCTTCAGAGTGAAAGTAGCAATAAAACATTCCTAACTTCTACACACAAAATTAAAAGCATAAAGCAGGAGGAGTAGAGGTATTGCTCATGTACTGTCTGCTGTCATTGCTCTGGGGTAATGAATGAGAAGTGCAGTTAAGGGCAGAGCGTGCATTACTGTACTAGCAATAATGGAGTAAGATTGTACTGAGTATTAACGTTAGAGATCTATAAAAATATTAACTTTCTTACTGCTTCCAAAAATAAGCTTGTCTCTCCTTTCTCTGGACAGCTAACAGCACTTGCTGCCTCTAGTGACAATCCTGAAATGGCAACTCTCAGCCTCTGCCTGCTCCCTTGTTTCTGTCCCCGTTAGGATATGACATAGAAGGTTGCAGGGCACCATGTTTCCCAAGTGCTGGATGATGTCAACCCCAATCATCTATGTATCATGTCTCTGGGGCACCGAAGCATTTAATTTTTTGTGCCCTTTCTGATGAAGAGGAACTGGAACTAAGCACTTTTGCCTTTCATAGCCCCTGGCTAGTAGTATCTGGCATGGGAAACCAGCTATATTGAGCAGGCTGTGCTGGAGCTTCCCATTTGAACCGTAAGTGCTTAGAAATTACGGTGCTTGCATCCCACCTAGTGGAGGGATCAGATTAATTCATCAGCTGCTTGCTGCTAAGTAAGCACGTTAATTCTGCTGTGACTGTAGGAGCAGAGCTATCAGCCCTGTCGGGACACAAGCACTCTGCACAACATGCTCACGTATTGTTGATTCAACCCGCGCAGGATGAATTGGGTGCATTTATTGACATAAGTCTTGAAGCTTACACTGATGTCAGACAGCTTTAGTTGTACTGGAAGACCAAGTCAAAAAGACAATCTAAAGGCCAGCTTGTGAGAGTTCAGCATGGGAGAAAACCAGCTCTGCAGCAATGATTCCTTGAGAGTAAAGTGAGCAATCTAATACTTGACAACTTGTTAGGTGTCCCCCTCTTCCTGTTATAAATACATAATAAGCTTATAAATAAAGACAACCTTGAGGCATCTATTTTGACCTTTTGTCTTCCTGTCAGCCTACAAAACTGGTCACCCCCACTTTTCCATGGCTGTGTGGCAACAGCTGGCTGTCTTTTACCAGAGGCATCAGCTTTGCTGCTCCAGCTGTAGTTTGAGTTGCTGCCAATGATTAGAACTAATTGACCATTTTGAGGCTAACAAACCCTCTGAATTCTCCTACAACCCCATAAGGATCATCATCCACCTTAGCAGATATTTACTTCACAGGCAGGATCAAGGGGAGATATCCCTTCTTCCCACGTGGAAGAGGCTGCAGAGCCAAAAACTGTTAGGTTATCCTTCACTATCCTAGTGCAAGGAGGAGGTGCTCACTAACAGGTCAGAGGAGCAGGGTACATCACAGAAAACCCTAGTGTCAATAGAATTAACAATCCTCGTATCTGCACAGATTACTTTTGTCTTGCGCTGAGAAAATGAGGAGGATTCCCAATAGGTCTGAAAGTGAACTTGAGTGAGCCCTTCTTGAGGGGAGTTTACTCTGCCAGCCATAAAAGCCTCGTTCCTCACTGACCCCCTGCAGCTACCTAGCACAGAGTTCTGTCTGCTGCCACATGCAGGCATTTCCCACCCTGCACCTCAACATGTGGGATGCTCATGTGCTAGGAGAAAAGGAAGTTAGCCCTCAACACAAGAGAGGATTGCATATACTTTCTGCTCTGTTATAGGCTTGAATAGGTCATCTCTCTCTCAAAAAGCGTGTGATCTATCTCGGTTTCACAGGCAAGAGTTTCCCTTACAACCATCAGTCTTGCGGGCACAGATTGAGTCTGCAGGCATGGAATACTGCAGGTGTGAGTGAACACACAAGATAAATGAGTGTGCCCCCATCCTAATGGGTCATCCACTGCTCCTAAGGAATTGCTTAGGCAATGTGTAGGACAAGCTTGCACGCAGAGAGCTTATGGAAACCTATTTTGTAGATATTCCAGATTCCAGCCAAAAGGATTCCTCATGCATAATGGCAGTATTGGAAGGGAGTTGTTCATTCCCCTTCCTCTTCTTCAAGATAGAAGCCAATTCCAAGTTTAAACACTGTTTCTTTACACAACATAAAAATACAATGCCTTTTCCTATGTGGCAGTGCCTCCAGCCTTTGCACACACAGATCCAAATCACGTATTCATAGGATGAGAATGCTCTGCTCCAAGTGCACTAGATGGCAGTGTTCCTTTTGAGCAGGGCACAGCCACTGCTCCACCATGATCGCCGCATTCAGAAAGCCAGGCCCTTAACTACTGTTGGCATTGTCATTCCCAGGGTATTCTTCCAAATTTGTGGTTTCCAACCTTTGTGTCTTTCTGAGGCGGAAACTTCATCCTGCCTCCTGTGTCCCGTCTGCTGTTTCTTGTAGGAAAGCCTTCTTTATGTGCAGTTGTTCTCTATTGCTTCTTGCTGTTGAGCCCTCAAAGGTAGCACCCAATCCAAAGGCTAGTTGTGTTTTTGCAGCACAGGGGCTGTGGTTTATATGTTGCTTAATCTTATTCAGACTGAGCTTAACAATAAGTTTTACAGCAGTTTCCCCTGTACAAGGGTTGATCTGTGGTCTCTATTTCTCTTTGGGATTCTGTGGAGAGAAGGTGCTTTCTTGATGTACTAATATGAACTTGGAGCTGTCAGGTTACACATATGGCTTTCAAGGATGAAGCCAAGGATATTTTGGCTCAGTGAGATGCTGGGGATGCTCAGAATCAGCATACCTTACCAAGGCTGCATCTAACCACAAGTTGGGAGAGAGGGTGAAATAATTTTGGTAGCCTTGTCTCATATTTGAGATTCCTCTGTCTGGTTCCTTAACACTGGTTCATTAACATTGCTCACATCTAGTGAGGTACTTTAGCTTTCTCAACTGTCTGGGTCTGCCCCTTTTGACCCCAAAATAAGGCTTCAACTCATTTAGCAACTGTGCTTCTAGGAGACAAAGCAACTCTAAAGCAAACAGCACACTCCATGATGTGATGTGGAAGGGATGATGAGGGTTAAGTGCAGCTCAGAGGGAAAGAGCAAAGTGGTGCTCAAACAGTCTTGATTGACTTCTACTCCTCGTAAGGCAGGAAAGTTGTAGAAGGCACTCATTTAGGAGGCACATCTGATGGCAGTGTTAAACAGATCCCAAATGGTTGAATGAGAGAAGTCTTGTCACTATGGACTCTGCTGAAAAGTGGAAGATAGAACTGTTTCTCTGGTAATAAATCCCTGAGAAGCCCCAACATTGAATTTACATGCATGGCAGAGCAACGTCTCCTGTTCAGTGTGATGCCTGCACTCAGCCCATTCTTGCAGAAACTGGAGGAAGACGTAGGAAATAAACCCAGCCCTCACACTGCACAATCAGTCTATAAAGACAACACAAGTAGACTTGAGTCTAATCCCAACCCTAGTGTTTACCTATAGGAAGAAAACTGAGCTGGTGTAGCCTTCACCCTGGCTCTGGGCTCAGATTTCAGCTCAGGCATCTATGCTTAAGTGGAGGGTAAGGAGACTCCCCCCCCCCGATTATAGTGTTTACTGCTTAAGTGTATCAACACTGACCACTTTGGATGCAAACACACCAAAGCTTGTTGGACACCATACTATACCTTACCAACAGCCCTTCTCAACGTACCAGATAACCTGTCTAGATCACAACACTCAGGAGCTTGGAATCTACATCCTGGTGCTACACCTCAGGCTTCCTGCAAATCTGTATCTCCTGTAGCGGCATGCTATGGTGTCCTTTTGGTGGCCAGAAACAGTGGCCCCTGTGGGGTAGTTTCTGGTGGCAAGCATAGCTTGTCCCCATAGCCAAAAGAGGGCAGCATCCTCCCTCAGCTGGGAAGGCAGAGGAGGAAGGAGCTGCCTGGCCACACATCTCTTTCTAAGGAAAAAGCATGCTTTATCAGATGGCATTTTAGAACAAACGTTCACTTTAAGACTTTGTGCATCTGTTTATAACGATACCAACTGATTTACAGCTTGGAGGGGATAAATTGGTGGGGACAGTTTATCACGCACCTATAAATAAAGCCCAAGCCACTTCTTGGTGTGCCATTCCCAGCTGCCCATGCCTGCCGTTATCCCAGCAAGAAGGTGTGGCAGTCTCCTGGTAACCAGCATCCCTCCCCAAGCAGCAGCACAGCAGGAAAGGCAACTGCATCTGTTCCAGAGTATATAGCTTTACACTACAAGGCGGTGGTGTGGAGGGGAGGCAGAAGGGAAGAACAAGTGGGTAGGTGCTCTCCATTTTTGTTGCCATTTTATATTCATATATAAGTAATGACACAACTGGACTTTAGGAAAAGCAGCCTGGAAATAGAAGACTCCAGCATTTAGCAGTGGCTCGCATGCCAAATGGGGGCCCTCTTTCCTAGAACTACATCTCTAAGCAGTTATCTGCATAATCCATCGTGGTGGATGCCCGTGGAAGCCCACACTGGTGCTCATACCGTCTGTACATCTGGCAGCCTTCAGGCACTGAGCTCCCAGTGAGCTCAATGGAAACATGATGCAGCTGGAAACATCCAGGCTGTGCTGCAGCAAGGGAGAAAATACACAAAGCCTTTTTCCCTGGCCAGGTTCCTCCTGCAACAGGTGAGAAGGCAAGAGGAAAGGCCAATAGCTACTGCTGCACCACTCCGCAAAGTAAAGAGGAATGATCACAGAAGGATTTCCCATCCAGGGAACCAGCACTCACTTGTAAGCTTGGGGAAAAAAAAAGAGAGCAAGCCTGTGCTGGCAGAGATGTGCCACCAGCATTTCATTTCAGAGCTCCTGTGGTATGCTTCTTATTGGCCTAATTAACGAGCTTGAAAGACTAGGAGTCACAAGGTTCATATGCAAAACAGATGGTAGACAGGACATCAATAAAGCTCTTTTAGATTATGCTGGG